GATCACTGCAGCTCAGGCTGCCTCCAGGCTTGATGTCCCCAGTTACCTCACTTGCACTGGTGACTATCAGGTCCACTCTCACATCCCCTCTGGCAGGGCTGACTATTACCTGGTTTAAGAAGTCATCCTCCATGCTGCCCACTCCTGGAGACTCCTCTCCTGGATCACCTACAGCTCACTGTGCTACTTTGCCAGCAGATGGCTGAAGTCCCTCAGCAGGACGAGACCCTGTGAGTTCAAAGCCCCCTGGAGCTGGACTACGCGGCTGAAGTCCCCCAGCAGGATGAGACCCTGTGAGCTCAAAGGCCCCTGGAGCTGGACTAAGGCTTTGGCAATACGCTCCCCTCAATCAGGTGGCCTGTAGCAGACACCAACCACAAGGTTCCCTTTGTTGCCTCAGTCTCTAGTTCTTACCCATAAGCTTTTGACCTGCTTGTGGCTATTCTTCAGGGACAGCTTTTCACACGCTATTCATTTTTTGACGTAGAGGGCTATGCCTCCACCCCTCCTTCCTCAGCTGTCTCTTCTGAACAGCCTGCAGCCATCAACTGCCATACTGCAGTCATGGGATTCATATCCCACCAAGTTTCAGTAATGGCAACCAGGTTGTAGGTTTCTAGCAGCACAGTGGCTTTGAACTCCTCCTGCTTGTTGCCCGTGGGGTTGTATTGGTGTAGAGACACTTCAGCTGGGCTTTGGCCATGTCACCTTCTCAGAGGAACACCTCTTTGCACCTTTGAGGTATTTCACCAGTGTTTCCCCGTTGGCTCCTATTACCTCAGGAGCCCCTGGCTCAGCTCTGTAGGACTTCAGTGTGTTGCAGTGTACGCAGCACACCTCAGAGGAATGGGTTGAGGGCCCTGCCCTAACTAGCACCCTGTCCCTCTAACTACAGCGTGTCATCCCACAGCTTGTCACGCTCTGTAGGACTTCAGTGTGTTGCAGTGTACGCAGCACACCTCAGAGGAATGGGTTGAGGGCCCTGCCCTAACTAGCACCCTGTCCCTCTAACTACAGCGTGTCATCCCACAGCTTGTCACAGGCAAGCCCTGCATTATCCCCCTCCCCCCTTCAAATCTAGTTCAAAGCTCATAAGGCTATTAAAAAACAGAGCTGAATACACACCAAGAACTTCAACTTCTAAACCAAATGGACTCACGGACTCTGCAATAGCAGAGTTCTCTGTTCTTTCTAAAAAACATTTGCCTGAATTTTTTAATTTTTTTATTTTTTTTTAATTTACACTGATGACAATCCCATAATCTTCCTAGAAATCTTACCAAGCCCCTAATTACTTATTATTAGGATTTTTTTTCGAAACTCCAAATGTTTCAGAAGCAGAAGTTGTAAAGTTTTATCCTGGATGATTTATCCCAAATGACACAGGAAGTTACTGAAAATCCAGAACACCACAACCCTGTCCCACCAGACAATGCCTCAGAAGTACATGTTAGGGCATTATAAAGCATCATCCAAAGGTATTGAGAGAGGGGTTGAGTCAGGGATGGAATAAGAAAAAATGCCGGAGGGAAAAAAAAAATCCATTTTCTTTTCTGACCTTTTTCTTTTCAGGAGATGTGTGGTTACTTTTGTTGTTCTCCCCTTCTGCTTCCCTATCACAGGTGAGGGGGTCACGACCAGGGTCCAGTTTCTGCCCATTCCCAGGCTCCTGCTCCAAAGGCCTCCATCCTGTGAGATTGACTCCAGCTGCACACCACAGCTACGTAACAGAAACAGAATCTTAAAAAAAAGAATTCTGGGGGCTCCAGGGTCTCTCTGAATTCAGGAACCAGTGTGGAGAACTGTGGACACGTGCCAAACACCTAAAATATTTAGCTGGAAACAACAGATCTTGTTGATTTCTACCAGAAGACGCAGTCACATTGGATGGAGGTAAGATAAAAGTCTTCTGTAAACCAGCAAATATAACTGTTTTTTTAACAGATGTGACTGAAAGACTTAAAGAAAATAAAGATAGTAGATCAGCTGCATAACTGAAAACAGGCTTCTGAAATGTCCTCAGTTTCTGACCCTGGGCTCCTAAGTCACTGCAGCAAAGCAAGCAGGACATGGCAGATACTTGGCTGAGGACAGACATTCAGTGCACTCCTATGTCCTAGTCGCCCCTCCCACCCCACTATTCTTCTCCTCACACTCCTTTGCCCAAAAATCAGTGTTCGTCTGATCTTAGAGAGCTATTTAAAGAACTAAAGCAGGAAAAAATGAAATAAAAAAAAAGAAAAAAAAAGAAAAAAAAAATCTGCTGGTTTAGCTTTCCATGTAAGAAGTGTAGAGTAAAAGAAGCACTCTGCATATTTTCTGAAAACAAATTTAGCTAACCTCCTATGAGCTATTTCCAGACATTTTTTTAGGACAATGCTGGGAACAGGACTACAGAAACAAACATTGGATTTATCCAAAATTATAAAGGAAAAGTCCTAAACAGAATATTATCCAAAGATCAAGCCAATCTTCTAGAAACAGCTGTGTAAGAATTTACTTACAACTTAAACATTTGAATAACATCTAAAAATCAGCTCTGAATAAAGTTAATGACAAACTGCTTATTTCAAAACACCTAGTTATAGCAGATAAATGTGCTACCTACAGAGATGCCACCTCTTCTCAACCACAATTCCATTCCAAATATTCTAATACTGATACACACAGCTTCACAAAGATCTGCTCTAGATAATTTTGGCTTGCTACCATTGAATCCCAGTCAATAATGGAATCTAAAAAAGAGTAATGAAATGCATTTTTACTTTCACCTGCTCTTTTTCATAAATTTTATGCTGTTTTGTATTATACCCTAAAGAGTCTTAGCAAAAAAAGCATAACATGTAAAACAGAAGCATGGGACTTGGCAAACACAATCAGCTGAGAATTATGTCCTTGTAGAGAGAAGTACTTTGTCCTACCTACACAAGAAACCACCATTCCAAAAAATGAAGTTGAAGATGAATTTCTAATATATAATGTAAAAAACCCCACAGATTGTTGTTAAAAATTGCCCGTTAACAAGTAAAATTCTCTGCTTATTCCACGTGCCCTTTTTCTGGATGGCAATGGTATGCAGAGACAACACACCTTCATGGTCGGGTCCTTCTCTACTAGTGGGCGGCAATAGACAGGCACAGGGACGTTTTTCATACGAGTGTCCTCCTGACCACCATTGGGACTCAGCTGGGGGGAAAGATAAAAAAAGACAGTACAAAGACAGAAACGCCGGGCTACTGTAAGACAGATGTAACCAATATGGCACCATCAGACTTAACACTCTCAGAGACGGGTGCTGCTGAGGCCTCATCTCACATCTTGTATGAAACAGAGTTGGCACAGGGATGGGAGCAGCCCACCCAGAGCCTGCCTCTCTCACTGTCATGCTGTGCCCCAGCTACGGCCAGCTCAGGCTGTACACCGCACTGCTGGTGGAGAAAGAGTTGTTATTGGATGCTCCCTCCAGAGAAGTCTGAACACTGTCACTCCTTCCCATCACAGCCTGAAACTCACCCACTTTCAAGTCACACTGCAAGACTTCTTCCTTTCAAGTGCTCTCTAGACCAGTTAAATGAATAACAGGCCAACAAAGGAGGCTGATGACATATGATTTGCATTACTTCTGTGGAGAACTGGGAGAAAACTGTACTGCATTTGTTTTTTAACAAATTTTTTTAACTGGTAAAATTCTCAGAGCAGAAATGCAGTATCTAATGTTCAAGTCTAAGTATAACAACAAAGGAAATAAAACCATGTACTGGGCTCTGGACAAAAGTTTTAGTTACTCCTGGTTTAGGGCAGGTTCTCAGCACCATGCAGAGGAATGCCTTCTCCACTAACTTTGCTGGAGACACAGAAAAAATTAATTTGATCTGTGCCTACAGCTGTCACACAAGTAAAAGATGTATATGATACCTCTAAATGAAATATAGAATTATTTCAGCTGGAAAAGACCTTTAAAATCATCGAGTCTAACCATTAACCTCACTCTACCTGGTCCACTGCAAAACCATGTCCTTAAGCACCTCGTCTACACATCTTTTAAATACCTCCAGGCACGATGACTCCACCACCTCCCTAGGCAGCCCGTTCCAATGCCTGACAATCCTTTCAGTGAAGAAGTTTTTCCTAATATCCAACCTAAACTTCTCCTAGTGCAATTTGAGGCTGTTGCCTCTTGTCTTATTGCTTGTTCCTTGGGAGAAGAGACCAACCCCACCTCCCTCCAACCTCCTCTCAGGGAGCTGTGGAGGGATATTTAAGGACTAAGGCTACCACAGTGGGACAATTAGGTCTTCACTGACTTCACTGCGAGGGACGACGTCCCCTCAGCCTGTCTGGAGAGTGGTCCCTACCTGCTTGTACTTGGCTGGCAGGCTCCAGCCGCAGGCCTGGAGGCGGCCCGCATTATTTCAGCTGGAAAAGACCTTTAAAATCATCGAGTCTAACCATTAACCTCACTCTACCTGGTCCACTGCAAAACCATGTCCTTAAGCACCTCGTCTACACATCTTTTAAATACCTCCAGGCACGATGACTCCACCACCTCCCTAGGCAGCCCGTTCCAATGCCTGACAATCCTTTCAGTGAAGAAGTTTTTCCTAATATCCAACCTAAACTTCTCCTAGTGCAATTTGAGGCTGTTGCCTCTTGTCTTATTGCTTGTTCCTTGGGAGAAGAGACCAACCCCCACCTCCCTCCAACCTCCTCTCAGGGAGCTGTGGAGGGATATTTAAGGACTAAGGCTACCACAGTGGGACAATTAGGTCTTCACTGACTTCACTGCGAGGGACGACGTCCCCTCAGCCTGTCTGGAGAGTGGTCCCTACCTGCTTGTACTTGGCTGGCAGGCTCCAGCCGCAGGCCTGCAGGCGCCCGTCGTCGTTCCGCACGTGCTCCCGGACCTGGCGGTACTGCTCCCGCTTCTGCTCGCGCCGCGCCGACGAGGTGCAGTCGCTGAGGAGAGAAGCAGCAGTGGCACTTCTCAAGCCATTGAAAACAGAAAAGCAGTTCAGAACAGAAGCTGCAGGTAAGGGAGTGTCGTCATAGCAGGGGGAGGAAACAAAAAAGCAAACCAAATCCATCTTTGAAAAGAGACAGGAAATCAGAGAGAGAAGAACGCTGTTAAGAAGCAGACACAAGCATCCCTAATCTCCAGCTCCCTGTTACCTGTGCAATGTGGCAGGCCAAACCACTGCCATCTCCATGTCAGTGTGCCAAGAGCCCTTCAGAAACAGGAAATCAACTTTCCATAAGACCTATGAAGCTGTGAGATTACACCAATTTTTGCTTAGCTGTTAAAATCTACTGATTTAATGTCTCCATCAGGAAGGCATTTTGAGTTCTGCCCCTTCTCATTATCATAGATTATTTATTTTTCTGCTCATTTTAAAGCTTTCTCTGCTGACGAGGACATACTCACTAACTGCTGTTCAAACTGCTGGTTTCATCAAAACAACTCCAGCTTTACACTGGCAAAGTTTAAAAGCAAAATTGATCTATGAGCTCTTAAGATACATTTTAAGGCTGTTGGAATATCAGTTCCAGCTCTCAATAGGTTTTTAAAGTATCAGTTCAAGGTATAAACAACATCAGCAAAACATCCAGCCCAAAACAAAAAACCCTACGTGCACAGACACATCATGACATATATACTTAAAACAAAACCAGCCCCACGCTAAAACAAAACGCTTTCCTGCACATGCTTCCTCTCCTATGGAAAGGATGAAAGAACAAACAGCTTCTGACAGTG